AGATTGTGTATTACTCATCTGATTTTGATTGATGAATCTGGCTGTTTCATCCATTTTATACTCCTTCCCTATCCCATTCAAACCGCCGCCATCATGACACCACCAAGCTGCACCGAAAACAAACAAATGAGAGTGCCCCCGATCTGGTAGCATACAGCGACAAAAGTCAGAAGTGACAATATTCGCAAAAACATTCCTATTGTAACCACGTAAAATCCCAAAGCATTGATAGCTTCGCATGCCTGAGCATGTTTCAATGCAAATATGATCCGTCCGTTTGTGGGCTCGGTTTCTAGGTACCACGAGAAATACATATTATTATTATTATTATTATTATTATTATTATTATTATTAACAGAAGCACACCGGCTGAGGACCCAGTAACGGATGGACATCGTTCCGGAGAGTTAACAGCTGGCTATCGTGCCACAATAAGAGAGTTATATTATGCCTAACGAATGAGATCGTGATTGGAAGGGGAGGCTAAGCAGAAGGGGGATGGACAAAGCAACTCACAACACACGCCATTGGGGTCGTCTCCTAGCCATCTCAGCAAATGTGTCCGACTAAACGTGTTCATCGTCTTTAGGACCCTAGCCAGACAGTCGGGATGAACCAACTGACGACAACTTCGAATTGACGGTTTTCATTTCTCTCGACCAAGTCATCGCTTGACCTCCCCTCCACCTCTTCCAACCGCACCCCCGCCACGCAAACAATGCACTTTGCGGGAGTCTGTGTGCTGGCATGCGCAACACGTGGCCCAACCATCGGAGCCTGGTGCGTGACATAATGGTGCTGAGTGGTTCACTGGCTCTTCCTGCACCAAATACTTGAGGCCGAACACCCTCATTGTTCACGCGGTGATCCCGCCAAACATGAGCTAAGCTGCGGAAACAGCAATGATCGAATGTGACGAGCCTCTTTATGTCTGTCGACCTGATGGGCCAGGTTTCACAACAGTATAAAAGGGATGAACGGACGGCTGCGTTATAAACTTTGGTTCAGAACCCTAATCGTTCTGTCTAGGCCTGGGCCTACCCACTAATACATTATGACCTTTCCTTCTAACAACCGCCAAATAACAAGTCCAAACTTAAAACTTACCGGGCTGCGAAATCTCGTGCATCGAACCCCTATTCTTCGATGCATATTTAGGCTCGAGCGGTTGTCCGATTTGCACGAGAATACTTAGAGGCGTTTTCACGATCTGCGGAAATCGATCTTCGTAACGCATTAAATGCATAAAAACTAATGACCACTTTGTTGTATTCTGGCATTACTGGAGGATTAGATCACGATCCATAGATGAATGCTTTCGTATCAGGGCCGAGACGTATGAAGTTAACCCCCCAAATTACTTGAAGTGCCGTGGTAACCAGGTTTTCATTATCATCTACAGTCAAAATATAATGCAGTATATTATGTGGATATTTCTTTATTTCGTCTTCTTCCCCATTCCAATTCCTCAAATAAGGCAAGCAAGCCATTAAAAACAAAGCTCTGAGCGCCACCGCATGCTCATTGCTGCTCTCTAGTACTGAAACAGTCTACATTGTCATGCCAAGAAGTTACACTGCAAAGAAGCGGCAGATAAAACAAACATTTCACTCCCTGAGTTCCTATAATGATTGAATACATGCATGCACTTGGGTCGCATGTTGTGTCGTTCGAGCAAACAGATAAAACATTTACTTATGATGCACTTATGAGTAGGGGACTTGATGTTTTTGATGTAATTAAGTGAGGTTCTTCGCAGCGGTTCAAGCCGCTGGTGGTCATGGGTTCGAATCCTGGTGGATCCGATGGATGCGCACTATTGACGATGCCCAATAGGCTGAAATTGCAGTCTAGTGCTTTTCCAGGCATGTGGACGGCTAGCTGATTTGGAAACTGGCTGCGAACAACCTCACTTAAGATAAAACATCGTTGTAACATTTGCCTTCACAAATTTTAAGACGGCGAAAAACTATTCCGACAGAGTAGGCCGAATTCACATATTTTAATCTACAATGTGCGATGTGATGCATCCAAGGCCTCGCCTCGCTGCTCTCTGAGATGGTTACACGCTTTTCGGGTTTAAATAAATAAATTATTAACAGTATATTTCCCGACGAGCGGGATACGTTCGCTTTTGTGGTGCGATCATCTGTGTGGAACCATCATCTGTTTTGCTAATCTGACTTACGCTCACATCCACAATTTGACTTACATTCATTTATCAATGTCACTGCTGGAATTGGATACAATCTCCAAGTCATAGCAGACGGTTGGAAAAACATCTACACTACAGCTCACATCCGTTAGCATTGCTGTGTTGAAGAATCGAAAACAATATACACGTCATAGAAGACAAATGATGGCCTTTAGCACACACCTTTTGCCAACAAACGGAAACATAAATACGTAGCACTACAAGCCATATTGATACAACCATATAATATATCAGTAAGCTGCGATCAGTGTTCATCAGGTTTACCAGTGTATCGTACTTAACTCTGTGCTGCGACAATCCTAGACCTACTTTCCAGGATAGGCGATAAATCTTTTCGTTTTACATTTGCAAGTGCTTGGAGAGAAACGCCCTGACGCCTCACCGGAGCTTCCACTGCTCCTGAATCCTTCGCGTTAGCTAGGTCTTGTCCTCTTCACGCCCGTTGGCAACTTTCTTCGTCACGAATGTAATGCTGTCCACGCACCTATAGTAAGCTGCACCTCGTAGCTGGCCATGTCTGGTTAGTCTGTCAGGCTCTGTCTATATATATGGATGATAGGCAAATGCGAAACCGGATGCCGCCAACCATATGGATGATGCGTGCTTGCATGCTAAGTTTCTTTATTTCAGGTGGTGGGTTTTCAATTTTGTCCCAGTGCTTTTCTTTCTCATGTAAATGTCTACCTGTACTCTATTCCATTCACTTGCACACCTCGCTTAAGCCAATTGTATTCGATTTCCATGACATCTTTGTGTTCGTGGCATTCCGTAAAGTATACTTTCTGACCTCGTGAACTTATCTAGGATTCGTTTGTAAACAACTTATTTCAAATGCTCACTAACTTAAGGTTTATTTCACCGTTTCCTTATGCATTAATCGAGTTATTTTCTTTGTTTCTCTCTCTCGCTCTCAAGTGATTGGCTGTTGTTTGATATCCCCGGTGTGGCTGCGCTTGATGTGCATGTTGACAAGGTGCCTACCTGTCTATTACCCACTACCTCATCCATATTGGCTCCAGGAGACAGTTGGTCGTTGCTGGAGGGGACAGGGTGCACGGTCCTTGTGGCCGTGTTAGGATCAGAGTGGTTCCATGCAGTCAGTGTGGAGCGGACTACGGTCTAGCCACCGCCTTGTGTGCGCTTGATTCCCCAAATACAGCGTGCTTGTGTTTGCTTGTGAAGGAGTGTGGGCCGGCTCCGTTGATGAAACGTGGTTCCCATCCGCATGCCTCCCGGTCTTATTGCTTCGGGTTTACACTGGATATGGGGTATGTGGTTGGAGTTGTGGGTGGTGCAGCGCAAGCCACCCATGGTCCCTCTGTAGGCGCAGGCGTCCTGTGGCTGGCCACAGTGACAGGCAAATCCGAAACCGGATGCCACCAACCATATGGATGGCGCCTTCGACTTCACCCGAATTGCTGTCCCACCGTTACCCGCTATCCCTGCGTTTCACACCCCATTCCAAGCACCTTGTCCTAACTCTCCAACTTACGACCTCATCCCACATCGCGTACTGGACTCCCCTGTTGGTGCTTGCGCTTTGTATGATCCGTTCGAATGTGTATCACATGGCCTGACTCAACTCACACCGAGGGTGACCTTGACTTCTGGCCGCACCTTGTTCCAAGTGTATATTCCCCCCATTTGAATTTAGCTTCATGATGGATTAGTGTCTTGCCACTACGTGAAGACGCTGTCATTCTGGACTTGTGGTTTTGCTGTTCAGGTGGTCCTGTGACCCAGCCGGGTTCCTCTTCTCGGTGAGTCACATTACTTTATGTACCAACTTGCATGTGCATTGACCTTCGGAACTCGCAGGGATCTGCATTTGTCACCTTATAATTTGGTATATAGTGCCGTAAATTAGTTCAGGCTTATTGGAAGGTTAGTTTGGAGGACTCGTTGTGTGACTGGATTGTGACGCATAATCTCAATGTGGACCGTACTTCTCACTGCAGTGAACCTTGGTTGATGCAATCACTAGGACTGTAGCTGAAGGAGATGGAAGTTGGGTGTTGCCCACCCGAAGAGCAGTGCAGCGTTTTCGTGCCGGCAATACCCAATATCCATCTAGTTACGGCTGGCGATCTAGGCGTCGCTCAACTTTCCTAAGCGAATTGTAGCTTACAACTATTCAGGTGAAATCGAAAAATGGGCCATTCGATGGCGTGGCACAGAGGCATGAAGAAACTGATCGAAGTCATGATTAGGTCGGTAGTTCTATAGTCTTCATGACTGAAGGAAGGCGAGCGCAGGAACCTTTGGCGTCTATGGTTGATGCGAAGTGTCCACCCGACCGATGCTGTCAAGCCGATTGTTACACGTTGCTAAGGGGAAGGGGTGTGCCGTTTTCATGTCAGCGGAAAGCTCAAAAATGGGCTTGTTGGGTGACTAGCTATAATTAAGTCACTGCCTCAGTTATGCATGTTAATAAGGAGGTGCACAGTAAAAAAGTATGATTCCTATGCTAAGTTATCGCGATTCCCAAATGCAAATCGCTCAATATTCAATGAGTTCAAACTGCTCCATTTTCTGTCCTCACATCTGCACTGGGTGTAGTGTGTGTGTGGGCGAGCCGTGGGTCGTGGTGTGTATTTCAACCATAGTCTTACTACAGGCGCAAACATATTGAGTAGGCACTATCAAACAACTCTAGACATGCTATCCATCCTGAGGTAGAGGTCCTGCTACTACGAAGAGGAGAAACATGTTCCCGCTGGATGAAAATGCTGATTACTAGGGGTGCGGGGTAGGAAAATTGAAGCGATGTGCGTCAGTGACTCACTTAATCCACTCTTTCGACCCTTTCGGCCTTTTCTCCACGATGTAGCCAGTGACGGGACCTTTCCTGGGCGGCTCCCACGCCAGCGTAACGGAGTCATCCGTGGTATCCTCAACAACCGGTTTGGACATTCCCGATGGCGGGTCTAGGGAAGAAGAACAGCAAGGAGGACAGCTGATGATGCATTGCTTGAAAATGTCCCACTGCTGACAACCGAGTTGCGTCGGATGAAGTCCTTTTGCTAGGTAGGTTAAAATTCGCTTACCGTAGGGGTGCTTGGCTTTGATAGCTTTGGTAGTCATCAGCGGCTCCCCAACGCCCATAGCGTTCTCGGCCATTACACGAAATTCGTACTCCTTGCCTGTCTCCAAATTACGCACAGTTGCCGTAGGGGTGCTGAGGAAGTTGCTCACTTTCTGCCATCTGTAGGGCACACAAAGTGAAATAAAATTTCCTTCAGCCCATTAGTATGTAGTGCGGATGTGGAGACAAGCTTGCTAAAGTAGGCAAAGTTATCTCCGTGGTTGGCTAGTTGACTTCATCTGAGATTAGTGAGAACGATAGATAGATAGATAGATGGTTCATAGTTTAGTTAGAGACCGTACGAGCCTCGGTTGGATTTCAACAGTGGTGAGAGGCAATCGATCAACTCTTATCAAAATGAAAGGCAAGGTGTGAGCGCATCCACCCATCAACCTCTCCAGTTACACAAAACACATTGTTGTCTTCCGAAGCAGCCTTAAATGTGCCTCATGTACACTTAACATTAACCGAAAAATTCCAAAACGACTAGTCCATATTTCCCGATTACGTAACAGCAAAGATCACCTCGGTAAATGCAATAATGTCTAGCAAGTGAAGTCCTAGACCCCAGCCATGACGGATTCCGGAGACCAACACGACGAAGCAGTGAGCTGTTGTACAGCACAGATCGCTGTTCATTTGCTTGTTGCCTGATACGAAGCAAAGGATAGGGTGGTCTCCCGGTGGAATGATCTCAGTGTCAATCTGCTCACTGCATGTTGAACGTGTCCGGCCGAATATTGTTTTATAAAGCTGTAGAGGTAAAGAGACTGCAATGGTTTTAATGGAAGTAATGGGAATTGTACACATACAAACGACTAGCAAAGCCAGAAGGGCGTGAGAATATCAGCTGGTTCTACCGCGTTTGGTAGTTAGCGCTTCTTTCCTCGACACAGTGACAGGTCTTGGTCACGCGGAACGTTGGCAGTTGGTCTGATTGAGTCGCCAGTCGTGTACGAGGCAGCTAACTCTCCGCTGCCAAACCAGAGACAAGGCGGCCACCAATCAAGTGGCTGCCTCTCAAGCCGCTGTCAGTAAACCTACACTCCGTAACTTATTTGGGAGTGTATGGTTTATAAGTGCGTTCAAATAGTCGCAGTAGCCGTTACATCCAACGCCATCCCTAATGGTGCTGGCTTCCTAGTCGGATGTAGATGTGGCGAATCTTGGTTTAAAAGTCAAAACTTTATAGACTTACCCTTCATCAGTGTAATAGTGCATCCTCGTGCGTCTACGACAGGTTACTGGCAACAGCTATTCTACCTCGTCAGTCGGTTGAAAGAAGGCAACTTTCAGCAAAAAAATGAGGACGAAACCGATCGCATCCCCGGACTACGGGCCGGGTTGTGTCAAGCTTATCGATGGGACAGTTGAGTCATTTTACGAGAGCCGGCGCAGCCAGATACGCTAACCTTCCACCGTTGTAAACTTTAACAATTAAGTAACAGCACGAACCACCTCAACAACATCAGTACAACTGACTTTGTCACGTCTCCAACCTCGCGCAACTTTCCAGTCAGGGTGAACATCATTCATGCACTTCTTCGGTGTATTAGACTTTGGGCCACTAACAAAAGCACAGTAGATCTGTCGTAGCTTGCGCTCGTACAGTACCAGTCCACTTGTCCTCCCGTGGCTTTATTAGGTAGCCGCATCAGCCGGCGGAATAAGTCAAGCTGCGTTGCGGCCTTCTCGAAGTAGTTTAGGTATGTTGTGTCGCCCCCAAACTGCTCCAAACTACGTCGGTAATGAAAATACCAAAATGAGAAAGGATAGGGTTCTTTTCATCAGGGAATGCCACTGTTAAGTGGCACACTAGCAGCAGCGAAGATAAACCAAGGCACGGAAAACACCGGAATGAGTCAACCAATAAGACAGCAGTATGGTAAGCCACCAGAAATAACGACTGTCAAAATGGTGCATTAAAATAAACCTCAGCAGACAGACACAACAAAAATGAAAGCTTTGTTAGAGGGAGCAATAAAATAGCAGGTAAGGTTCTGTAGCAGTCCATGGTTGTAGACGTTCGTTTTGCTCTATTGGCTCACTGATTTTTGTTTTACTATATCATCCCGCTCTCTTTATTGGCTATAGAGAGTCGTTCTTTTTGCCCTCATATCGCAGCCCTACTCTGACGCCAACACTATCACTTTCCGTCCTTTGTGTGAACCTAATTGGTTCCTCAATTTTTCAGTTTTTACTGGATTTACTTGTCCCCACGCTTTCCGCACTCTGGTTGGCTTTCACGCTTGTGGTCATCCTATATAACGGGATGGTTTCCCTATGTAAAAACCCTTGGATCATTGTCCTCGGTCTTTCGTGTGCTCACTACCGTTAGTGAGTGTAAGCAGTCGCGGGGCTCCGACATAACAAGTTTGCAGATAGGAAACTCAAACAAAAGCTTGCGTTAACTTCGGACACACGACTGGATGTCTGTCAAAGCTGATGGTGGAACACTGCCCTGCCTCCTTTCAGCGTGGTACCAACAGAAATGTCCACAGCTCCATCCTGGAACATCTAGCAGATAGTGAACGTGACATACAAACGAAAGAGGCCTTCGAAATAGTGTATGGACCAGTAAAACACTGCATAAAAGGACTCAGGAAGCGCCTACTGGCCCCAACAGAAGCGATTGCGATCAAGCAACTGAAGCCGGAACTGTACAAACAGCGTGCACTTATGCAGAGTTTAACCCTACCGTTGCCCTAGTCTGGTCACCTGACTTCTGGCACGGTGGTCAATAGTAGTGGGTTCAAATAGACCTAGATTGCCATCGTTCATCCGATCGCAGCATTCACAACTTTGTGTCGCATCGCTAGCAATAGCTAATGATTAGGAAGCTCATAACTGTAATTGCCTGAAGAGATTTATCAAAATGAAATTTCTTCGCAATTTCCTTTTGACATTAGAATGAGCATAATTTAGAAATTAGAGGCAGAAAAACTTTAATTCCCCGCCCCAAATGGATTATTCCTATTTGATGGTCGGCCGGTGGCCGAGTGGTCTGCATGTTTGGTTTGCAACTATAAGGTCACCGGTTCGAATCTGCGTAGGGGTGGGCGTCCTCGCGGTGTACTCAGTCCGCGCGCGACGTGGTGGTTGCGCTGCAGCGAAGCGCCGTTACGGCGTACAGCTGACACATTCCTATTTGATGGCTCAGTGCCGCTATTCCTACCTATTTCTCCACCTTCCGACCTAACAACACACTTTTCACGCTTTAGACCGCTGCATCCTCAAACGAGTATCGTTATTCAGTTACTTCATCTGCATACACTTTGTCAGAAGTCCACGCTTCATCAGTCTATCATTAACTTTATTGTATGGGTGTGAGTGCTGGCCGATTCGCGTAGAAGACATGCGTCGTGTTTCTGCCTTCGATAACGGTTGCTTAAGGAGGATCGCTCGTGTTTGGTGGCAACATCGAGTTAATAGTAATGACGTTCGACGTCGCATCTTGTGGAATGCGAGTATTCCTTTCAACAAACTGGTTTTGTTGCGCCAGTTAAGATGGCTCGGTCACGTCCTACGCATGACACCTGAGCGTCTACCACGTCGCGCTCTATTCGCTCGTCAAGGATCTGGCTGGAGGAGACCGCGTGGTGGTCAGCCTTCCACTTGGCCGCAGCACATGAAATCGCTGACGTCGTGTCTATCCGCTGTAGGATCTGTACGTCTTCCAGGATGGGGACCCAAAGATGAGGAGTGCCAATGGCTTAGAACTCTTGAATACATGGCCTGCAACCGGAATCAGTGGAAGAATTGTGTACAGGATTGTACTGATTCACATGTTTAATACTACAAACATTGAAAATGACAAAAAAGAGAAAAATCGGCGTGTGAAAAACAAACTGAAAATGTTTTGTTCTACTTTTTGTCAAAATGCTCTATTCTTCCTGCGGCATATGAGCTGAAGGGCGTTGCTCACCTTCAACTACCATGCCACGATGGTTATGACGCGATAACTCTTCCTTATCCGCTGATCTCCATGGTTTTCTGTTGGCTCGTTGTCTAGTTGATAGACTGATGAGATTACATACATATACATACTTGACATTATTGTTACGGTTATCCGTCTCGGCCCGCTGCCTGCACGCTGCAAATCTAGCCGTGAATCCTGTCTTGTAGGTTAATCGACTCTTTAGAATCACGGTTATAGGATTATGTGACAAAATCTTCTGGCAACACCATTTTCTGCCGAGACAGTGCGTGCGATCTGAATTTATGACTAGAAGTACCAATATTGATCTGCATTTTGTACAGCGTACTTCGAGTTCACGTTGTTCCATCGTCACAGTAATTACAAAACAATCAATCAACGCGGTTGTGTCCAGCAACTTGTAAGCTATTCGTACATTTACCGTTCATTCGTGTTCGTATTACCGTGATTTTGCCTGCACAAACTTGCCTCACATCGTCTCGAATAGACCATTTGTTTATTTCTATTTAGCATAAGCGATCAGTCAAAGAGTGTTAGGGGAAAAACCGCTCTTACTTGAAACATACGTATGGGCTTTATTCAGATCAAAGAGGTCTTGCAAACCCAGTAAGGTCTCATGGTGAGTTTGCGGAGTACGTCGTCATGACTGTGGCATAGTGCAGACAAAACAACTACTTCATTCTGTAGTAAGCTGATAGGGCGAAATGGTTATACTAATTACTTCATTCTGGATCCTCGATGAAATAAGTGGATTGCACTAGAAAATTGCAACATGATATCCCTGAAGTTTGTTAAACATGATGGGTCCACTTACGCATCAGAGCCCTTGGGTCTTTTCTCTAGGATGTAATTGGTAATTGGTTGTCCACCATCGTCCAAAGGAGGTTTCCACTTCAAAGTGATCTCGTCTGCGTTCACATCAGTGGGCTCCAGCGGTCCTTCCGGTGGACCAGGGACATCTGCGGATAGTAGAGCAATAAGAGAGTAAGATCTGGATCATCATCACCTAAGGTATGCGTACACCTGGAATCAATATAGATGGTTTCCTGCCATACAATCATATCTACCCTACTAACCAGGAGCGAGAAAAGGGGAAGAGAGCGGATCTGTTGCCCTGGGCAAACATTCAAAGTCAAAGCGTCCATACCATATTTGCAGCGCAAGACCACAAGCAGTCGGCTATTGTGCGAAGTTGTAATCGTATTAGTGAAAGAGTTTTGATACGGCCTTCGCTATCACGCGCCAGTCAATCATACACAATAGGTAGCTTGTCACTGCACATATTTTAAACCAATAGTCCGAGTGAACACGCCAATGACGCCGGTTGTTAGCCACGTCTTCTATTGTCTCGAATCAAGCACTGGGTAGGTAGCGTGAAATCCAGCCTGGAAGTTAATATGAACTAGCGGACTCCGACATTCACATCAGTAATCGCATCTCCCCTGTCAATTCAATGATTTCCTCTTGTGAGCTCAATACGGATAAAGGATACTTTCGAAATACTTTGGCTGGTTGGTCAGCCGTTATTTGGTTCGCCGAGCTTGCTAAAGCGGTTGGATAAGTTTCGCCACCATTCGAGGTTGCATCGTCAATGCACACCACTGCAAGAGCTGATTTCTAGCGCACCTTTGTACAATCACGTCACTGCCCCCACTAAGTTCAGAGCAGCTAATAAGCCGGCGATGCTAGTGCTCCTCAGAGGAGATAGTGGTCGATAGGCTAGATGGGTGCAGTCCAATGCGTTGTAGCGATTATGTGACTCTACTTTTCGTTACATTTGCTATGCCGACTATCCCGATGAGCAGCTCTAACTAATCTGACCTATTACATAATACTTCACCTCACCAAGCGTGAAAACGTCAGAGCGGAAAATGTCCCACCGCTCCTCAAACCGAATTCTTTCTTGAAGAGCAGAACGAGAAGGAGTATTCCCCTAAGGGTGGTACGTGCCGAGTTTACAGGATCTGTCCCAGCTCAGTAAACTGGCCAGCCTACGTAGCTCAACACAACCATTGTGTGTTATCGATTGGCGAAAACAAGTGAACAGACTAACAAGAGCTAAAACCAGTTCCGTTCGAGCCACAAACTTCATTACATACACATCAGTAGCAGTCGTAAAATGCAACCCTTAATTCCGCCCTTCGCTACCGTCGATGGATATACAGACGCGGTGAAGAAGGGGCCAGCGTTACGAGTTATGAATTAATCTATATTTCAATGCATACCACGTTCAAACGCTGTTAAACTTGCGCACACTCAGTTCTCCTGGAGCGGATGACATCCACCCGAAAGCACTGCAAGTAGCAGGAATGCACCTGGACGAACAGCTGGTCGGATTAGTTCATCGCTGTCCACACGATAATATAGTTCCGTTAAAATGGAAACGTTGCATTATCACCCTAATCACAAGGAGTGAAACCGATTTGAGTCTGCTGGTTATAGGTACTATACAGTGTTACTCAGGGCTCGATGAGGTTATGAAAGCAATCGTCACAAAAGCATTGCTGGACCATTAAGAAAGCTAAGACATAAGTGAACCGGAGTAGAATGGTTTCGGATAGCATTGCTCGGGTACCATGAATCAATTAACTGCACGCGACAAATCGACTAGAGCAGTTGGCGGGCCGATAGGGGCCGATGTTATCCATGTGGGCTGCTCAAAAGTGTTCTATCACTTGTACCCTCGTAGATTGGTTTACAAGGTCCAGTACCTTAGCACTGATGATCCGAAATTGGGACAAATCGGTAACTTTCTCCGAGGGATACAAAAGTTCAGTGCTACTAGCAATGGCTGAAGAAACAGCGTGTTTATTGGAGGCTACCGGCGGCTACACTGAAGTCTCATAGTGATATAACAGCTGCGGAGCGACCCAATCACGCATGCTACCACCTAATGAAATTCAGTCAAAACAATAATCTGATGGGCTATAACCTAAATGTAGTCATAACTATAGTCGCCAAGTTGTTGATGAAATAACTTTGCTTTCAGGTCTGACAACCCTGAAACGGTCTTCCAGCCATTATCAAAAATGTATTTGGAAATTGCTTTCAGCTCCCTGAAGTTTGTCACATGAACGAGTGCTCTGGAATGTATTTTAGTGACCTGTCCTATTTGAAATAATAATCTACGTTGATGCGTGAAAATCCGTGCAAGTAGGTAGACTATCTAACCATTCTTTACAATAAGCATTATTTATAATGACTTGTTACACTAGTAGATGGAAATTGGGTATTGCCCACCCGAAAACACTGCACAACCACGACGCGTTTCGATGTAATTTTCATCTCATCAGGTGGAGACAGCAGGATTTGAACCCACGACCATTGGAATAGCAGCCAACACTACTACCCCTTTGGCTACCGGGTCACGATGGGCAATGCTTTTTGTCACAACGGTAGATGACTTAGAATACGGTCCCAGCGATCGCAGTGACTAAGGTTCATTTCAATGTGAATCACAGTTCATTAACTTGAGGTTGCGTGTCGCAATCCAATTACACAACGTGTACTCCAAACTTGACCCTCCAATTAGTCATCTACCGTTGTGACAAAAAGCATTGCCCATCGTGACCCGGTAGCCAAAGGGGTAGTAGTGTTGGCTGCTATTCCAATGGTCGTGGGTTCAAATCCTGCTGTCTCCATCTGATGAGATGAAAATTACATCGAAACGCGTCGTGGCTGTGCAGTGTTTTCGGGTGGGCAATACCCAATTTCCATCTACTTTGAATACGGTCCCAGCGATCGCAGTGACTAAGGTTCATTTCAATGGGAATCACAGTCCATTAAATTGAGGTTGCGTGTCGCAATCCAATCACACAACGTGTACTCCAAACTTGACCCTCCGACTTGTTACACTGTTTTACATGGTACTATCCCATTTTCACGCAAATGCTTTTAGTATATAGTTAGTTATCGCCCCAGCGAGGTGCCTGTTAATTTATTCTGTGCTCTTACGAGTGTCACTCTGACCCACCTACATATACTTTTACTGGTCATAAGCCATTGTTCCATTGTTGAAACGTATTGGACCAGATTTCCATGATACAAAAAATTAAAGAGAATGGGACAGAGTGAGAGATGAATGCAAAACGACTAAATCTTGCAGTCTGACAGGTTACCCATCGTTGGGTAGATGGACCAACAGACGGATGCTGTAAAACACGCCACACAAGGTCGGATGGGCCTAAAATTAGTGATACAATTTGCCTTACAAGAAAGTAAAATGCACTAAAACACCTCATTTCTTTAGTAAGCTTCGTGGTGCACCGGCTTGGAGTAGCGGCTGATAAAGACAGCTACCACCAGATTGCTGAACGAGAGAGTTGGTGCTTTGTACATCACAGTCATCTGTCAAACCTGAACTCAGGAGTACGCATGTCACTACATTCGGATGATGAGCGCCAAGTAGTACGCGCAGAATGTGTATGGCAAGTACAACACAGCTCAAGATCGAGATTCAGTCGACTAACTAAAGGGGGAATGAGCGCCCTAGAAGGTTCACCGTTCCTCTTTGTTTTAAGCCACCTCTCCACTTGTGAAATCTAGCTGGAAATCAGTCGCGGAGTGCAACGTTACGAGCTTCACCTAATGTATCAGTGATCGAATACACCGGGATTTAAATTCAAACTGAATCGTGGTTAAGATTATGATAGCGTGTTGCAATTCATTCGCACTAACGGGTGCTTCAAATCACCCATCTATGGGGTCATGTTGTTGTACAGTTAAACCGCCATGCGGTGCTGTCTTCGCCGATGAGCTTCATTACACCAAATTCTTCGGTTTTGAGATTTATTCGTAGTAATTTCCGAGTCAGTGAGTCCGCCGCTACGCAGCCGTTTTGACTTGTTGGATCTTTCAGTAGTGTCTCCTGTTTTAAGCAGCACCGTTGACCGGGATTCACTGGCTTTCACGCTGAGAATAGCTGCTTGGAATCTCTTAAGACTCTGTACCACTGTGGATGACATTGATATCATGCTCCTTCAAATGTGCAACTAACTCACCGTTATCTAACACTATGGTCTGAGAGCCTGAGTAGAGAATGAATTGACAGAGTACGTCATGAATGGGATGCGCTTAAGCTGAGAGGTGAATTTGTTGTTACCGACCTAGGCACAGATATCGGGACGATCTGCTTTAACGGAATTCGCCTACGCAGTTGGAGCAGGGATCCTGTCAAGGATTGTGATCCAGTGAAGAAAGGATTATACTCAAATCTCCAGGATTTAGCTTAGAGCGCAGCCTATTGATCGATAGACACGCACGTCCTACACCTTCCTTTTTACCGATGGTATGTCACTCAGTTACTGGATGACAGAGACCCGGAGCACCTACTTTCTGACTCTTGCCTTCAGAGAACGGATTTAACTTGAAACATAGTTATAAAAAATTTGTTTTGTTGCACAAAATAATGTTTTTTGGAAAGTTGATCTTCCAAAATTGTCACTGACCGATTGTGAAAACACAAGTAGTACGGATCTCGATGAGCATCCACAAGCGTCGCATAAGATTCACCAGATCGGTTGGTGCACGACATTTAAGTCGGTGATGTGGTGGGTGGAAAAGACGGGTAAGCAATGGCGGTGACACAAGACTACTGTTAGTACACTGTCAAGTTAAATTTGGGAAATAGTCTTTAGTCTTTTCCTGTGTTCTGCAAACACACACATACATACAAACACTAGCCGACAGTCGAATGGCAGTCCACCGCCCCTACTGTTGAATGTCACGGATGTCTGCACGAAACATCGGTGGAGAAGTACTGCCAAAGCAAAGCAGATCATTAATCAACAATCATCGACTGAAGCTAACCCCGATACGTTGACAACCGGGCGCATCTCAAAACTGTGTGGTTCATTGTTTTCAACTAGGTGCCTGTCGGGATGATACCAATTGGATGATGGAATGTGAGCGTTAAGCTGGGTGAGGAGAATACTTTCAGATTTCAGATTACAAAGTCGCAGTAGTAAAGATGCGCTACGGATTATCGTCATGTACGAACGGCTGTTTCCATGCGGAAAACCGTACATACCAAGGACCTCCACATGACACGACGTTTTCACTTGACCGAGGTCGTTCGTCAAAGTTAATTCGTAGTCGCCACCATCCGCCCGACGAACCGAGTGAACTTCCAAGACGGCGGTGCCCCCGGGTGATTGCTCCAAAGCACCTCCTGGGCCCGGTTTCGCTGGGGGAGGAGGTGGTTCATTTGAGGTCTTAGTTCTCGAACCGTCTACCTTCACCGTTTTGCCACCAGTTGTCCACACTGCCGTTGGTTGAGGATAACCGAACCAGGCTGCGGCTAAGCGCAGATTCTGCCCAGCCTGAAAAAGTAAATGTTGAATGCCAAGTCTTTAAGCAGGGACATGGAGGCCATGAAATATCCTAACACCAATCAAAAAAAAACACGGCACAGACCTTGAGAGTGATATCCTTCAAACCGCCCACTCCAGAGCCGGGCCCACCGACGCCTTCTTCTGGGGTACAAATCCTTGGAGGTTCTGGTACATCGGCTGCAGTTAATGCAGGGGTAGGTTTAGTCGGCTCACCGGGACCCTCCTCGTTGATCGCCCGAACACGGAACTCCGCAGCTTCACCTTCCTTCATAGGGACAAAGGCGCATGTATCACCCGTATTCAACACGGGTACCCATTCCCCATTGTCCGCCTTCTTTTCAACCACGTAACCTGTGATGGGAGCTCCTCCATCGCGTCGGGGCTTGTTCCACGAAAGTTTGACGCCATTCTTGGTCACTTTGTCGACATTCAGGTTTTCGGGAGCCGAAGGTGGATCTGTAATGGAGAGGAGAACGGAAGTTGTGAATAGAACTCCTCCGAAGTTATACAGAACCCGATATTGGTTGACGAGATTGGGATGATGGCGCGACTTAGCCCATTGCATGGGGAAGACAACCGTGTGCATGAACACAAGTACTCTACTTTAAGGAGCTTACTAGGCTCGATGTTTCTGGACTTATAAAACATTTGTTTTGACTAGGGTCTGCAATCTGGTTTGGGGTAGAAATCCATCGATTAGAACACTGAGGCCGACAATCATCAAGGCTGCCTATAGTTGCGAGTAAGACTCGTCTAGTGATTCTGGTTACCAACTGGGGTAATAGCTGGTCGTGTGACCGAAGATGACCAACGTGTTGTAGGTAGGGAGGAGGCCAATCATTCGCTGCCGACGCAAACTGATAACGCGTGGAGGAGCCAGACTAAAAACACGATTGGCTCAGCTTAGAGGGAACAAAGTAAAGCTTTGTCACGAACAACGGCGACGCGTTTTGGCTGGAACAATCCCCAGTAGACCGAAGTGTACATACTGACGGACAGACAAAGGAGAATTGAAGTGCCGTAGTATGACTGAGAGAGGACGAGACAGACGAAGCAGTAGTGGATTGAAACGAGCAGAAGGTTGGAGCAATGAACCTAGACAGACGGCGGAAGACGCGAAAACGAAAAGTAACCAGTGTGAAGCCGTCGCAATCGAATAGCGCCTTCCGTCTGATTACAGTTTAAACGATACTGTACGAATAGCATATATTAATCATTGCAAATACTTTGTTTTAACATTTGGAGAGCTACTCGGCACCAAACACTACATAGAATGAGAGAGAATTTGGTCGGACCACGTACCATTGTCATGGGCAGGAACTGGCAGCCTGAGGCTCCTATCATTATTCCATTTACCAGGTCGCCACGAGATGACATCGCAAAATAACGCCGATCTGGACCTTAGTCAGTGATGAGGCTTACAATGATTGGTAGCGTACACAAGGGCATAGATAGTCTGGAAACCGCGAATCGTCATCTACCATTTTGTTCCTTATCGCGTGCAAATCACAGCTGTTCCTTGGCGTGACACAGTTACACTATAGGTCTCCGTCTTGGGCTCCAACTGGACCTCCTATTCAAGTTGATAATGGGTCGCAATCAGAGGTGCGGTGTGAACCCCCTCTGAATGCGGTACTGGCCCCATGACTTTGTCGACTACTCACTAGCCTATTGACCTAATAGCTAAAGCATCAGTCAGGTGGGTGAGCGTCTATCCATTGTACTGCTAACGTGCACAGAAGGGAAAAAGGATCGTCACCCAAAGCTATTCTGGGCAATCTATTTTCCTGAAGAATGTATTCGATTGTACTGCAGTTCACCCATACAAATGTATCTGCAAGAAACGTACACACGGGGTCTTTGACTGTGTGTGGTGCAGTCGCACTGGATGGCTTCCCAGGACCGGCATCGTTCACAGCACTGACACGAAATTCGTACGTTTGACCTTCGTCCACATTGGTCAATTTAACCGTGGGATTGGGAACAATGTTGTTTGTCGCTTTGCGCCACTCTCCTTTTGGAGTACGTTTCTCGACCAGATATCCTGTAATGACAAAGCATAGGGAACTTGGTGAAAATGGAACAGCAGCTAGTAGCAACGCGGTATGGCCGACTGGTCTGGTTTATAATATACTTGATATGAGATAATTCCTGCTGTCAGAGGGATGTTTGGAGGATTCATGGAAGTGGCAGGTTGAGATGCAAAACAGACACAGTTAACTACGTGACTTTTCACCACAAATGTAGCCTGTTACTTGGGTTTCGGTTTATCACATACTCTTCCTCACATTGCCGTACTCCCACCCCAGAAGGAAGAGCGTTATCCTCGGCTATCGATGCTTACGGAGTTAGCTAGTCACATAATCCTTCACAGTGGGATGCAAAATTTTTGGATACCAACTTCAATGCTTGTCTACTTCTAAGGTGAAATCAAAATCCTGAGTGAGAATAACGAAAGGCTGTCGTTGATGTTGGTTGCGGTGACAGAACACAAACAACCGTCGTTGTGATCATCTCGAGCACACAGTGGTAGCAGCTGACTAAAAATTCGCTCAATGCTAAGTCTCAAACCTGTGTATAGTCTATCTATCTACCTGTGTATAGTTTATCTATTGTTATAGTTCAGAGGCGTCGCGACACTAAGCTGATCACTCGAAGGTTCCCATATTACTGGAGAACCGGCTAGCTAGTTAATCGCACACCAACACCAGTTGTCTGGCAGTACTTCAAGAATAGAATACCGCAGTCAATTATTTACGACCTTACCGAGCAATGCATTTCCAGAAAGTACAAGTAGGTTTGGAAAATTTGAAAACACTACCCGAGTTGATGCTACAGCAGCATGGGACAGGTGACAACAGCAGTTTTGTCACATCTAGTGGACTTGATCCGTGGACACACTAGGGGCCGCAATGAAGGCCGGGGCCCTGTGGGCGAATCGTCAGACACCACATGCTGATGACAATGTATTAAATGCCAGGGCGCAAATGCGGTTAATGGAGTCTTCCCAGGACAATCTTGGTTACAGTTGGTTTTAGCCAGCGAGGTGGCTGTGCCATCTCTTACAGCTTGATCTTCACGGGACCAATCATACATTTTCATTGATCGCAGTCCGCTTCATTGACGAATCGTGTTAAAACTCATTTGGCTAATTCATTATCGTCACTCCCAATCAGCTGGCTTAGATTAGACTGGAAAAGCACCAGACGCCGGCGTTTCGATCTTCTGGGTCTCGTCAGTGGCGCGCTTTTCAGCGGACCCCTGCCGGGTTCCGCCTCCATGACTCCAGGATGCCAGCAGCTAGTGCCACTTCACCATGGGTGACAGCCGCGAACCTGCCTGATTGACAGTTTACTAGGATATAGCCGGCTCATTTTCACTGCCACGCCAGTTATGAACTATGCAGAGAACAGTGGTTGGCCTCACTAGCTATGACTTTCCGCATAGCGCTAGGCTGCTGATTGGGAGTGACGGCGAGGAATTAGCTGATTTATACCAAAATCCCACTACTTGTCATCAGTAACACTCATTTGTCCACCTGTTCACAGCTCTTGTTCCCAGTCCTCTGGTTCCTGACGCTGCTAACGCATGAGTGGTCGTGGCAAATCCATAGAGTGCTCGCGATTGCAACAATGGGTTAGAGCTACACAACAGCAGAAAACCTAACTCACACTTAGACCTCAATCAACACTCAAAAATGCATTCAACCAGGGGAAATGGAACCGATGAGCCTATATTTTAGGTAAATTTGAAAACGAACGCAGGAAACAACATAGGGGATAAGCGCACGGAGACTTAACAGAGAGCCAGTCATGATCACTCTCCAGACCAAATAGTGAAATGACGTGAGCAGTGTCTGACAGAGACCAGTGCAGAGTCCCTAATTCCCCCGAATACCCAAACAATCGAGTTGAGATTGCATTCTACTGTTTCAGACAGTAAATCGGTCATACTGACGTCGTAGGTGACACAGCAAAAGACTAGCACCTTTCATCGGGTCATACAGGCGCGTCTTTCCTACTGTTCTGTCTCCGAGGAATTCCATTTACGGTTCATTCAATGAACAACTTTGAGGTTTGTATAGGAAGGGAATAAGCTAGCAAAGTATATGAATGGATGTGTTATGAGTACCGGTGATGTGAGGAAAGGTGGGAACGGATGCGCTTCCACTACACTGACCTTTAATTGGGTTACCGCCATCATCCTTAGGAGGTTTCCAGGCCAGTGTAACCGACCGTCTATCGAATTCTTCAATTTTCAAGTTTTCTGGCGGACCAGGAGGATCTGTGCAAAGGAACAAGTTGGAAAAGCAAACTGCGAAGCGCAAAGCAACCAGAATTGGAACACCAAAATGCGAAGGCTTGACAAAATCGGATGCAGTGAGGAAAACAGAGGATCCATTCGATTTGTTAGCCATCCAAAGCTCTTCACTTCATGAACAAGGATGGAAAATGTGGACTACAAAAATCGTTTGGTAACCCTAGTAACTCCACAGACGTTGCTTAGAGGCGTGACCCGAGCGGTCCCTAATCAATCCAAGTGAACTCGTGTAGTGTGATGTGTCCGGTGCAAGGGCATCACCCATTCTAGATATGGATCAATAAGGTAGCTGGAATCACTGCTTCGTATTTTGGCTAGATATATTAACAAAAATTGGGCGTTCAAGGTACTGGGTTTACAACTTTGATACAGCTTCAAATTGATCGATCAAAGTGAATAAGTACTGGGTTGTTTCGGCAAATCATTGACGCACCCCCATTTATTGATCTGGAATTGGCAAGCTGCAGATAAGTTACCAGGAACGCGCCCTCGGTCTGTTCATACGCAACGATTTCAACTGTTCAAGACAGGCTGACGTAGCTTCGAAAAAGACAACCAGCATATCCCACTGTTACTACGGAAATTCGGAAGCTTTGGCCTATTTAACCTACCTATGATGCACAGCTATTGGCGCGGCTTCACTTAGAATACACTATCCAAGCTAAGCAGATTTGGTTAGAGAATGATCTCTTGTTGTTGGACGTACCATTTTAGGTGACCGAGGTCCTCAGCATTATGCACCACTGCTTCTGCCAGTGAAGAGTAATTTTGACCGGAGCTTTAGTGGATGATAGTAACCAGTTCCATGAATCTAATTCGAATACCTGATAAAACTCAGTCATAGCACTGACCTCGGATGTAACCCTCTGAAACTGATCGAGCAATACAGCCCTCTAGGGTCTCGATCGAATTACTTTCCTTTCCGACCTTTCAATTCCAAAAGTCGCATACTAAGTTGCATATGCCCTTAATCTTACTTTCAAAACGTTTGGGCACTGCCATTAGTTCCTTGCACGCTGGTTCTCAAGTCGTGATACTCTGGAATACCTGTGATGCACCCAAATTAGAATTACGTAGTACCCGGATACGGGGAAAACAATACAGGGAATGAATGTTCTTACTTCACGCACAAGCAAGTTTGGCTGTAGTAAATCTGTATGCTGTTCTATACGCTAGCATTCAACACCTGGTTTCCCGCATTTATCATGCACCGGGATATTTAAAGCACTTGTTTCTTTGCTCCAAAGATATCATTGTTACCAGATTTTTGTTGTACGCTTTAATCGATGGTACACATATCTTTTTTGACTTTACACTTTCACCCTGTTCACCCTACTGGAGTTGCCTGAAAACTTCTTACCCATAGTAATTTATTATTTATCATGCATTAAAGTTCAAAAATAGTGTGATGTAACATTTCATTGTCTCAATTTGCGATGAGCATCTTCTACATGTTTCTTACCCTCCGTTCGTGAACTAACAATACGGTGCCCCAGCTTACCATCCGATAACCCAATGGGAAACTGAAAAGCCGGAGAAAATACAGCGTATCGCAGCAAGATTGCTACCGAGTGTACGAAAGCTTCCGTATGAAAAACGTTGTGAAAGGCTCGGACTCTATACAGTATGAATTGACCTTATTATGACCCATCGAGTACTACACTTGAATCACATTTCCACACTGTGGCCAAATTTCACCTGCGGAAACCTGTAACATCCGAGGACACCGTTACAAACTCAGGGTCCCCAGTGTGAACAAAGTATCACATTAGCTTTGTATCGAACGAAGAATCGTAAACTTATGGAATATACTACCAGAAAGATTAATAGAGGCCGATTCTGTGAAGTGTTTTAAGACCCGTATAGACGATTATTTCGGAAACCTGTGCTTTCGTGAAATGATGCACATCCAATGCCAAAGAAGACATCATATGCCCGGAAATAATGACACCAATACAAATTCCTAACCGAACAAGGATAAACGATTAACTGACCAGACACAAACGCTGATTGATAACAACTAAATGTTTTTGATTTTTCGTAATTCGACAGAGGTGTACAGAAAGCTTTCTACTTGCTCTTAACTACAGTCTCAGTCTCAGTCTACACCCGGTTCACTCGCCACCTACCCCAGCTCAATGCCTTTTCGTCTGCAAACGTTTATACGAGCGCACAGGCTTGTGAAAGTATTCATTTAATCAACATAAAAGCTCTATGTTCTTCCGGAGTGTCTCACTGAAGTGGCATTGAGGTTGATTGTCCCAGTCCATGCACACACCGCATACAAAGTGCTAAGTGCCAACTGTGATGTATAGCGCCACGGTAGATTCCCAGTTCAGCCATCCCCACCAAGAAAAGTAATGAGTCGGTAGGGGATAGTGTGGGACGATTCACTTTACACAGGTTGAATTGTCTAGCGTCATCTTCCCGGTCTGTTTTAGTAGAACAGCATCCCGTTTTTTGAGTCGTCCAAGGGTACTTCTAGATGCTGCAACGCATCCATGCATATGCATCGTTGCTGGTCATATTCGTAACTATTCTACTGTATGCATCCGAATGCGTTAAACTGTGGTGCCCGAAACAAAAAGAATGATAGGAAACGTATCCTGGAGTTATCACATACACTTAGTCGTCTCTTCCGAAGTCGTCTGACTGCTCCATTGCAGTAACGTCCATTCGTGCGAACAACCTAACCTAATAGTAATAAATAATGTGTCAGCTGTACGCCTTGATGGCGCTTCTCTGCCGCGCGACCACCACTAGTCGCATGCGGGCTGAATAGACCATGAGGACGCCCACCCCTACGCGGATTCGAACCCACGCCGCAAGATTAGGAAACAAGCTCTTTACCTCTAGGCTACGGGTCGAGGTGCGTTATTCAGATGGCTGCGCTTGGTAACTTGACATGTATGAACATTACTAGCACTAGTAGCAGTAGTCAAGTCAACATAGGCTTTACATGCCCGAAAGGGTGTATTTTCAGCATATTATTATAATTGCCACGGATGGAGTAAAGTGGTAAATTTAAAAATCAAATTTATTGATGGAGAAATCGTCATCGGGTGCAGTGATACGCGTAGCATGCCCGGCATCATAAAGCACGGGTAAAAAACCAGCGTAGTATAATGCTCGTGACCTTGAAATAGTAAAACCGAAGAAAACGTCAATACTATCTGGTGAATACTATTGAATCCGCGGCAGCTAAGGTAACATGGTGTTCCAGTGTAATGACAACGGCCGATTTAAACGCCCGCCGGATGGATAGTAGTAGAAGTAGCGGCAGCAGCGGTAAGCTGAATCGCAACCGTGCTGCTCACACGCTGGTAGAGAGATTAGGAGTGAGTTTTGCTATGTCATCCCGAGTTCAACCTGAAAACGTCATATATATTACCCAAAGGAGTTATGGTTGATTAAGATCCTATTCACGCTCATTCATATATGCATTTCCAAATTAAACTCTGAAGAGATGCGTATCGGACGTGCACATAAGTGTGAGTGGACCGTAGCCTGTTCCACCATGGAACCGTTTCAGGAATCTAGCACCGCCACTAAGAGTGTGCACACCGCTCGAACCAGCAATCCTCAGTAAACGTCTGAAACCAAAGATCGAAGTGTAGGCAGCAGATGAGCAGGTAACCTGCCATGCCACTAATACGCAGAACACATGACCATCGACTCCTCAACACACATGATATAATGAGGATGAGAGGTAGTCATTGCGAACCTACCGTAAGGGTTTTTGGCTACAATGGCCGTCGCCGTTTCGCCGAATTCTCCTGTGCCCATTGCATTCACGGCTGCCACTCGGAACCGGTACTGTTTCCCCTTGGTGAGATTGCGCACGGCGATCGAGTTGTCCACCACCGATCCAATCACACGTTCCCAGTTACCCAAACCGGCTTCGCATCTCTCAACGACGTAGTCTAGNNGGAGGTGGGCAGTAGATAGCTTCCATTCGAAGTAAATCAGCGGGGGTGAGCCGCTTGCAACATCAACTATTTAAAGTTTTTATCTAATTATTCTCTCTAGTCATAAAATGTGTGTGTGAGGAAATGCGTGTAGCCATTTGACTCCGGCGCGTTCAACAACCGAGTGACCACGTGACATTAAACACGCTTACATGCGGCCAAACAATCAAGCAAATGCAGAAAGTCAGACTAACCTGACCATTTTTGAACCAAGTAACCTCGGCATCTCGATCAGACACTTCGCATTCGAGTGCGACAAATTCATCGTTCTCATAACATTGTATAGCTTTGAGCTCTCGAGTGAAGTACCAATCGGATCCTCCACCGCGATATCGATGTAGGTTTCATCGCCCTCGACCATGCAACAGTACTCGCCTTCTTGTTCCGGTCTGGCTCGGACGATGCGCAGGATACAACGGTTCTCGCGTCGCTTGATTTCCACCTTACCTGCAACGTACTTAGAAGATGGACAGAGCAGAGAGAGCAGGTCAAGGTTGCGAAATGGCTAATGCGGTGGGTACATTTCGTTATTCTAGTCTGAACAATTCATTACGTGATGTAGCAGTGCCCAACATGGAGACAACTGTTCACTGACGAGGTCATGGCCATGTTTCGTTGCCGGAGGTTGGAAGCATATCAAATGCGTACTTTTAAGTAAAGTCAATAATGCGAAGTCACAAAAAACATGATTTAGGTCTCCTAACCAGTATGCAAACATGCACAGGAAACAACAGTTGGCATGCCTATGAATTGCTCGGTATGCCACGCACGAACCCCATATGATGCGCAGCGGCTAATGTTTTGGGTTCGTTGAGAGCTGCGAACATCATATGACCAATGATTTAAATAGGCACAAGAAAAGCGCTTCACTGATTAACAAAGAGTACCATGTCGCCTTTCTCATAAAGTGGGACACTTCATTTCGGAGGGGCATATGCAGAATCTGGATGCGTACCTAGCCAATTGAGAACATCAGACTAACATGTGAAAGATTTCGCATTCCACGTGGGGTTGCGTCTCTTCTGAGAAACTGATATTTAATGATTGCGTGGGCACAAGTTCGTCTGCTTTGCTTTCCTTGCGCCAACTGAATCATAGCGCTTCCGCTTTCCCTCTTAGGGAACTCATGTCCTCCCATCGATCTCTCAAGATGGTCTTTAACGCTATCACCATATATTCAACGGACGCAAGCGCTCTTAATAAATGCCTACTTTTCGTTGAGTGACCAATCCCAAGTCAGTCAATTGTATAACCTAATGGCAACTCAGTGAACATTAGCACTAGGGAGGAACTTGAAAGCGCGATGTACGTAACTGTTTAAGAAAGGGTATAGATAATCTTGGAATTTTCGGAACTGATTTCCAGTATCCTTAAAATCCTGTGCGTTTCTGGAAGTGTTCCGTGATGGAATCAACAAAAGCCACATGGCAGCTAAACCACTAGAGTTATGCAGACCATATTTGGAACAGGCTGAATGTCATATAATATGTACTTGAAAATGTCAAGCTGAACTAGAATGGTGTTGGATGAACGAGCAATATATTTATGATTCTCCAGCCTACCTTGGCCTGTGATTCTTCATTTGCATCTTTTTCTACCTACAGTTACTACTGGCTAGTGTAAACACTAGCTCATTTGAAAGTCGGAAATTATAGCCCTAGCTTGCATCGCTCCAATTCACTTCGGTATTCACTATTGGGTTGAGGTTGTATGTGGTTGTAATACCTACCATTGGCAAATGTAAACATTAACACAATGCAAGGTCGGACACCATGGCTATTACCTTTAGCTCATTAAATCACTATGGCATTCACCATTAGGCTTTCCTTTTACCACGCACTAGTGTAAACACTAGTTAACTAGCAGCTCTACAAGGCTCCTTTACCCTTTTGTGTCGGAGAAGCGGGGAAATGTTTCGTGTATGTGTTCATCAGCTCGTGGCGTTTCTATCTGTTGATGTTTTCTGCCTACACTTGTTATAACGCCCTATCAGCTCTATTAATAACTGTTCCTTGTTTATACTTAGTATTGTCTGCATGCTCGTCGTCCGACTAATTTCGACTTGACCAAAATCTTTGCCGCAGCGATCTATGCCTTTTAGTGGAACTCGCTCAACGAGACGTTGCTGAACGCGACGATGCCTGCCTGACTAATAGCAATCTGCTGCAACAATTGTGTAATAACCCCCACACTATGATCTGCCAAACTGTGCTTAGCCGTGCATAGTCTTTTCAATAAATGAACTAGTTATCTATTAATTTATTTGGTTCTCTTTGGTATGCTAATTCAATATCTTTATTTCGAGATAATGCAGCAAGGATTTATAGAGATGTTACCTCGTTTCTGCATCTTTGTCGGATGCAGCGAGAAACAGTGCGTTCACAGGCGTGTCCTCTAATTTAGCCTTGGTCACGTGTGATATTCGGCAGTACGATCCAATGAATGGGATCAGAAAGGTCAGTATAGTTCGATCGGCAGATAGTGGGGCTGCCGCCTTCTGTATCATAGTGACATCAATGGCTTGACGTGCACATATTGTGGGTGGTGTTAGGAATGTCCGAAATTTGTAGTCGCATCTACTCTTGTGGATGCACCAGCGCGGAACTGGTTATCCTAGACTCGCCGCAGCGATTGGCTATGCGTGTTACCCTACATTTGATTCACCACAAATACTTATTCATGGCTTTGAACTTCTTGATACAACAATGTGACTCCCAGTTTACTGCTAGTGACGAGAAGTCAAACTAACAACTAAATGTATATCAGGCACGATTCCGATATCCAGGGAAACCAATTAGTGGAGAGTAAACAGGATTGCATCCCGTTTGCAATTCTTCACTGAGACTGTGGATGTGTGAGGCATCAAGCTCACCGAATGACTGTAAAAGGTCGTCACTATGATTCAAAAGTCAAACACATCCGAAACAACAAACATAGTCAGCTGCGAGGGCCGAAGGAGTTGGTACACACGGTAGCTAAGAAAAAGGTTTATCCCGAGTTACATTTCCGAAATGATTTTGCGGTGCTAAAGGCGACTAAGCGATTAATACCGGTTGCGCAGGAAAGTCACTGCCCTGCCTAAGTTGTAGTGATCAATCGAATGGGAAGTTTGTCAGTCTCTCCAACAAAGGAAGTTCAGCCTATCGGGACCAACTCGCACTGTGTATACCAATTCGTGTGTGACTGCGGAAGAAGTTACATAGGCAAAACTGATAAAACTCTGACTTCTCGAGATGATTTCAGCACCAAATCGCCTAAAACTCCCTACCCTCTTCAACTCCGGTGCTTGCGTAGGCCTCCGGCTTTCTGGATAGGTAAACACCCATTGGTCTCGGGTCACCGAATAGAGCTGAGCCCAGCGTTCACAGTCATGTTGCGTCACGCTAATCCACGCTTCCTTCGACTTGCTGAGGCGATCGCAATAAGCTGTGTTCAAAAACAATTAATTGTCAGCTTAATATTACCATGGACATGGGTGTGAACTTCCGTCACTCACTCTGCATCTCAAGCATGGTTAGTCACACCCAATGCTAGCTGTATCTAGGCGTAATGGTTATTGTTAATGGTACTAAAAAGACAATACCAAATGTATGCGTCTACCAGTGTTCCTCCTTTCTCCGCGTTTTTCAAATTTCTGAAGGGAACTTGTTGTTTTAAACAAACGTGCGAACCTTCCACCCTTGAATAGTATTCTTTTAGGGCACAGTCTGCTGACGTTAGTGTTATTTTACTATAGAACGTAGCTTGAAAGTGCGACCTTGCGCGGTTCTAGTATGTTTGTAAAGAGCAGAGTTTATTCTAACCAAGCTAGCAATGACAGTTTTTTGCAGGTGGAAGAGTACTTTAGGACCGCAATAATTCCGGGGTTGGTTGTGGCCATTTGGAGCCGAGTCTATGCCACAAGATCGTGGCCAATTACTTATTTTACTGAAAAGTTCATCCACTATCCCCACCGTAGATGTGGAGTGCGTTCCCCGTAACTGTGACTGAGGTCTTGAGTCTACATTGCGGAACCAACGCAATAGTTGGAGTTTACGCTATCGGTTTAAATCATCTAAACCCAGAAACATGCATTCTGAGATGCCCGATGAAGATCAAGACAAAATATCAAGTAGCTGGGTAAGCTGCATAATCCAAGCAAGCCTTAGCATTACTTACCTCAATTTTCTCGCCTTTATGGTACCAAACCACTGGAGCACGAGGATCGGACACAGAACATTCCACTGTCAGGTCTTTGCCGCGAACAACTTCGGCAGTCTTGGGTAGCTTTTGATTGAAGTGGTAAGTCTGTTTCCGCTCTTCTACCACCAGTGTACAAGTAGTTGAGATATCGTTGCACTTACACGTATACTTGCCGACGTCTTCCATCGCAATCCGCTTGATTTCCAGCGCGTATTCATTGCCTTCTCTGTAGGATAAAGTTGTAAATTCGTTTTTCACACATGTTGATTTGATACGTCTGCCAATAATCAACTGTGTTTGACCAAAACATATAATGCTCTCACCACTGAATTCTAATTTGTAGGTGAAGTACGATCGGGGCACACTGTAGGAAGGGACTTATTAATTCTTAGATTCACTTCACATTATATGACTATCAAAAATAGGTAACAAGTAGACACTCACTGAAGAAAGTTATACTTTGGTCCTTGGAAGATCTCCAGTTTGTTTTTGTACCATCGAAATCGCGAAGTTGGTTTACAGAAAGTACATTTCAGAAGCGCCTTTATACTACCTTCCTTGATTTTGAGATCTTGCACCTCTTCGATGAAGTATTCTTTTTCCTGGCATTCAACAACGAAATAAATCAGATATTGATTTTATACTGTCCATATTCACTGTAGGCATAAGGTTTTCGCACAGGTTATTTCAGGTTATCGATCAACTTGACTGCGTTAAGCCTATCTGCGGGCGTTACTTTAATACGTTAAAAGGAAGAGGTCGATGAAGTTTGCTTTAAGTGTCGTGGTCGCTTCCTCTTACCGTTGCTTCTCTCCGGTACTATTCATTCTTCCCTCTTCCGTGCTTCTTTTGCTCTCTTCTTGGATCTGTTTCTTACAGTGGTTGTGATATGAGCATCCAGCCACGTAGGAAACATTTATTTTAGGTTGTAGCTCTAAGGGTCTATTACGACCCACCGTACTATTCGGACAGAAAAGAGCTTGTAACACTGGACCGGAGGAATATTACACGGAGCAAGTTCTAAACACTCACATTTATGCCGCACAGGGTGATTTGTTAATATCTTTTTCGATAAAGTTCACTGTGGATATACTGTTGACACTTTTAAAGCACCAGTTCATAGACATAAAGAGAAACGTTATGTGCGTAAAGCACTTTAAGGAGTTTCGACGTCGTTCTTTCCCATCATTGCACCCCACGGCACTTTTCGTTCTCGTTTGAATTTTAAGGGGGTTTTCAAGCTAATATATTCCTAATAGTGTAGCCGCGTCCGGCTGATCAGTTCGATAGCATACTTCAACTAAAAGGTTGTTTTTTTACTTGTCTTAGAGAAATTGTGAAACAGGCATATTCAGTACACTGGTGTAATGGGAGGAACGATGCGGAGCCGCATGCTACTGGTTCTGGACCCATCACGATCACAATCAGAGGAAATTGCAGCTACATTCTAAAACGAATGATCCAATGTTGTGGACCCGTCAATCAAGCACGCACGCACGGATGCACTGCGGCTTACAACTGATAGAGCGAATGTTTATCGATTGCTCTCCTGTATGTTCAACGATTGTGGCCAGTCTGTCACACTCGTCGGCTAAACTGTAGTACGCGTGCTCTTTCCACAGCGCGCACTGAGCTAGAACAAGCAGCCGCATATATGACGAACTTGAGGATGCTTGTCCTCGCTACTCAGGCGGTTTCAAAGCAGAGGCAAGTGAATTTTGGAAGCAGAAAGGCACTGAGAGGCTGCACTCACAACTTTTGGGGTTTCGCGGTGTTTTAGACCAGCAAAACCTGGAATGGCATCGGCCAGTGAAGTTCGCCGGTTTGTCATCGAGTCTCTGCGTGCTTGAAGAGATTGCTCCAAAGCCTTCGGGTCTAGCAGACCACCAGATTTCTCCGATGAAGCACGTCTGTTAAGCTATGACGAAGAAAATGAGGGAACAAACCAGATATTAATGGCATCAATCTAAGTTACTGGTAGATTGACCAACATGAATGCTTACTCTTGAATACACTTACAAAATCTTCCTCCTTCTTGGCTGCGGACGATCTACGACTACTCCTGTTGGACGGAACTTGCAATTCCCCAAGTTCATCATCCTCTTCAGTGGCTTCATCTCTGGGTAGGCAGTTGAAAAATGTTGTGCGAGTACACGTGAAATCACGTTATCATCAGGTGAATTTTCGTTTATATGTATTGCTCATGAGAAAGATGAAGTAAACAGCGACCCAGCTAGGATCGGTTGTGGTTCGTAAGTTGTACGACTAAAAATTTAGAGGACACAATATCCGAAGCGCCACAATGCGGATATCCATATCATTAAACCGTTTGGGGATCACGCACTTACTCCTGAATGACAGTCAAATCGAAACTGGTCTTGTCGCACACTGTGCCATCGGTCAGCAACTGTAACACATAACTGCCACCGTCATCCGCCGTTACACTCTTCAAGGTGATGACAATGGACCGCTTTGTGGCATCTACCCTCACAGTGGCCCTTTTGTCGCTCGCCAAATCCATACCTTTCTTCAATACTTTTGCCTGCGGGGTGACCGAACCAGCCGAGAAGTCCACTGTTAAGATGAATGTACGCCCTGTAAACGAATAGGGGGAGAAAACAGAAGACGTGTATGGCTCTTCCATCTTCGTATGGCTTATCATTGTATTTGAGGACATGGGACTTTCGGCATTCATGGGGTGCTAACAAGATCACTTTGGCAGCATGGTACTTATGAGTTACTTTGTTATTACATGATGCTCGAGAGAAGCTAAAGATTAAGTGAAGGCTGAGGTCGCGGCATGGGCGTTTATCCACAGTGGACTGATGTGAGACATGCCGGGAGCAACAGCTAGATTGTATGACTGCTTCAGATAAATCGATTGCCGAAAGTGCAAAACGTGAGGTTCTTTCTGTAACTATTGGAGGCCTGATGAGTTCACCGAGTAGTAAAATATTATGGTTATATTTTATACAGAAGTGACTGCTAGTCCTAGCAATTGCAGATTGCTCTCAAATACCGGTACGAAACTGAGACCATGCCTTTCTGGGTTGTGTGGTGCACAGTAAGCCGACTACAGAAACTAAACGTCAGAGGTTATATTGTTTCATGTAGAAGTGCTATTTCATGACACAGAAAGTTGGGCTTGATCCGCGCCTGAGAATTTTCTTATACCAGAAAGATCCTAAATGGCATTCCAGAGCCTTCCGCATGAACATGACGGACTCCCGGATAAAACCATTGCGAAATCAATATTTGGCCCACGGTTAGATATGTCACAGGGTGGACAGTCATATAAAGATTTCATGGGTAACCTCGTGGCTAGGTTCGTGACTTTACTACCTTCGATCTCCGGTTAAAATAACCCTCATGAACTATGTTCAACACACGCTATTGAAGATGATATACGTACGAAACATGGATGTATTGCGATGAACGATCAAAACCGGAAACTCCATCCCTTTACACTGGTAGACCGAAAATATTGAGGAGCAGAGGCGCATTTCTTAATACTTCACTTTGGTGTATTCCACAAGGATCATACCGTCACATTTATTTTAGTCCTAATAACGGACTTCCAATGAAATATCCCTCACTTAGCTTTGTTAAGTACTTCAGGATTTAATTGCTTTGCTGAAACTTTCTTTGTTCCACTGCTACCAATAACAAGTCATGGGCCGTAAGATAAGAGAGTATGCTACTCACATTGTTTCCCGTGCTCATCCTTTGGTTTGATGTCCTGGGGAACACGCCAAAGGTAGTCACCGTCAAGTCATTTAAACTCCCCCCCCCAAGACCAGTTGCAAGATTTCCTTATGTTTTTGTAACCCACATGCCTGAATTTTAACATACAAGTATGTGGATATAAGACGAACACCATCACTCACCAACGTCGGCTCGCTGGGGTCCGGGAGTTCCGATGATCTGAGGCAGCGTAGCTTTGCTGTCTTTTGCTGTATGGATAAAATCGGGATAAGACGAAATGTAGCTCTCGAATGGAGGCAGATCAACTTGAGAAGTTAATATTGCAAGTTACCTACTATAAAAGATATCTAGTTCCACGGACGAACTTTGGCCAGGATACAAGGCAAAATAAAAGCATTCAGCTAGAAAATTCAGAAAGCGCCCTTTCACTTCAGTGGCTCTAATGAACAGGGATTCTCTCATTCTGTTTTAATGCCGCAGGTGTACAACTGAAGCTTACAGAAGTAAGAAGTTAGACATGTTCCGTAGAGATTCGTCCAACGGGAGCACTCACTATGTGGGAGAAAAGAACCTCAATCCCCTAGTACATACGTTGCAGCCACGCCTACTAGTAAGACTGGCTAGGCGAACAACCTCCCCGTGGTGCCACTTGGGCGGTTCGGGTTTCCCCCGCTCCAGCAAGTAGTTCGGCGGCAGTGTTCCAGGACGTGGTAGGTTTTCGCTTGGCACACGTTCTCCTTACAAAAAGCCACAAATATCCGTTGAACAACACTATGACGTTGTGGTTGGGACTCACCACTAAATAAAGTCACTTCCCCTTGCTTCATAATGGCGAAGCTTTGTATACCAGTAACGTAATGCTCATCCGTACAATCATTGCAGATCCACGGACGACAAACATCCCTTTAGCATTGGCAACGCGTTCAGACACAAGCAAGGTGCAGCAAAACATTTACAATGCCAAGCAACACAGCTACACACGTCTACGCACATACATAGATACGTACATGTACCAACATATATGACACTCCAATGACAATCCTGTTGTACATTCTTTGATCACCCGTTGTACTTTTAACAGGATCAACTTGCGCAGGCGTGCCTCGCTTAACCGAGAATAAAAGTTTATTTTTTATTTTTTATTTACTTTACCAGGGTGTAGTTTTCCTCTATGTGAGCTCAAAATTACCAGATGCCCTAGTAACCAAGGCACTGATCAATCGTCATTGAAGATGCAACTAACGTCAGTCATATCCAAATTGGCCTTTAAACACTCTGGTACCCCTAACCAAAACGGCTATGGATAGCGTGCAAACGAATGTCATTGACATGAGCTTTCAAAGACCTACGGCTTCCAGGAGTACACAAGGTCTTGCATCCTAAGACGAATTGTGAGTTTCTCATTCGGAGTTAGCCATTACCATTAATTTGAAGTCCATCGAAGTCCACACCCATTGTTGATACTCATAAGCTTCCTAAAGCGCTGGATAATCGCAGATTTCCTCTTCTTTACCCAGACAGCACTAAAGGACAAAGACTAGTCAAACTAAAAGTGGACGGTTAACTCATCCAAAACCATCTGTAACTGAAATCCGAACAAGGACAAACACAGTAGCCAGCTTAATCACCTCGAAAGGAAAAGTTGGCATTGTCATTAGTATCTGTAGGCAAGAAAGCAACACACGGTAGAAAATACACGTTTCCTGCACTGGATGAAAAGTTAGTACCGTGGGTTATGGGGTCACGTTACAGTGGGTGACAAGAGGAGTTAGGAGCAATGAATTCCGTGGTGGATTGTACGTGTGACCTTTGCAACTTGTGTATAACATTTTAATATGCCCACCCCCTGTACAGAAGTGAAAAAATGCCCAAATATTGTCGACTTATTTTCGGTAACACACGGTAGATAAGAAGCCACGCAGCAGCATTATCACCTGTAACTTTTAACAGTGTCTCAACCTTGCCGGCCTTACCCCTCATCAGTCTCATCCACCTCGTGCAAGGGATCAAGCAGTAGGATTCTTGTTCTGATATGTGCCTATCAGCGATTCGTTTAGCATCTGAAAATTTCCAGCCAATTTTTTCCTAACTATATGATATTTCGTCTGATAAATTTAAGGGATAAATAAATTAACCGTTCATTCACATGTAACAAACCATTACTCTTCTTGCGAAGCTCCGTCGCAGCTAGAATCAGCTAGAAAATCACTACACATCCAGGAAAGCGTTAGACAACCTTTCGTTTTAACAGGACTCGTCAGGAATGCGCATCCGCCGAATCCTGTCGAATTCGAACCCATGATCTTACGCTTACGATCCAATGACCTGTGTTACTAATCCATAGGTAACGGCGGCGGACCGCCGTGAGTAAGGTCCTGGGTTCGAACCCGACAGGGGTCGATGTGTGCGCGCTACTGTCGAGTCCCAGTAGGACGACAGGGCCGTCTAGCGCTCTTCTGGATGTGCGGTGGCTGTCAGAATGAGTCTGACTGCCACTAATCTACTCCAAAACACGATAAATCCCCACTACTTAGTAAAAACCATTACTCGTTTACTACATCAACTAAGAATATATGATTGCGGTGGCTTCAGGGGCTGCTTGTGGGGCCGGTCTTTAACGGATAGTTAGGCTCGTGGTTATGACCACTTAAAACTTGGTAAACGGTATTTGTGTCACCATGTAGGTGTTGATATCGTCCCATTAAACAACATGCACTCCCAGTTGCTCCTCGCGGGGCAGACGGCACAGATAAACGATTTTGTATCAAACGACGTTGCGGAACCACGAGAACGTGCAGATCTCTGCTGTGTCATGGTTGCCAGGCTTGAATCGCCCATTCCAGAGGGAATGTATATATGGCGAGAGCAACTGCGAAAAACAGCTGGGTCGACACGTTCCAGAGCTCTTCACATGAGTCCCATGTTTTGTATGCCCTACCATGGTGCCATTTTGGATTACACCGAGCAGCATAGCACTTAATCATTAAGTACACACAGGCCCTTTTCACGAGTATGTTACTAGGGACCATGATGATTAACTTGGTCCATAGGAGTCACGCAGGTGGTCTTTAATTTATATCTAGCCACCCGTCATTTTGATCGTCCGTCATAGCCCGCTATCTTCCATCTAAAGCCAACTGCCAGATAAACGCTCAAACAGACAACTGACCTGTCTTCAGCGAACTGTAGTTTTACCCACACCGCCCTGCGGGACTTGTCAGGCAACTGTCTTTTTACCCGACATAACTCATAGTTAATTGTTCATCGTTCAATCACTTTTACATCATTAGTGGCTCTAAGCAACATTTCACCAGTGGTTCCGATTTTGTTTGTAGTCTGCGTACAGAATTGACCCATATGGAGCGTGACGGGTGACGTTTGAGACCTTGTTCAATTGCTCGACATATATCTATGGTTAATACTTATTAAAAATTACATAGCAACGATAAGCAATCACTAGAATTATCTTATTATAGTATAAGCTTATTGAAGCTCAATACAGGAACCAAAAGCAGAAGAGTTTAATTCTCTACCCAACAGATTGGTGACATGCTCTGCCTTAGTGAAGGAACGGTGTTGTTACTGGCCGTATTAAGTAATGGTTGTCTGAGACTAAGGCTCAAGCTACCGTATCGTAGTATATCAGTTATGCCCTCTAGTCTGCAAGGTAGGGACGATTCCTTCAGCGCTGATCAAGGGATCACGCAATCAAAAGTTAAAAAGTGCATGCTTCAAAGGTTAAGGCAGACTGTGGTCCAAGGGTCATAACTTGACATATAGGAAACGTATTGAATGACATACCAACTTGAGTGCATAACAGATGAATTTGACTGCCCTGCAGCCTACTTCGATTCCTCCCTGGACTAACTTGACTGCGAAATGTTGCAGAGTTTCTCTGATGTCAGCGCCTCCGCTACATCGAGCCATGGCTGGAGCTGTATGTCTCAGAAAAATGTGAACTTCGTATACTTGTGCAATAGTTTTCACCTTGCTGCACACCCATCGTTTTTACCCTAGCAGTTCAACACAACAGGGACCCAAATGATTTAATGGCGCTGCGTGTTTCCGTTTAGTTTTATTAGGGGGGGGGGCGGCAACGCAGCTTTGCTGTGTATGTGTAGCGGTCGGTCGGTCGGCCGTGGCGATTTGCAATGAATCGCCACAAATAACTTCAGATTCGATCTGCTATTGTTCGATGGTTGTGGAACAATGAACAATGATTTGTCGCGGGATAAAAGCAAGTGCTTGACACGCCCCGTAGGATGGTTGGGGTGAATATGATGAAATCAAAATATATCTGGGTCATCTACCGAACGTCTGCCGAGATGAATATTTCAATAAATTACAGCAGTGTAACATCTAACAAATCGAGCGTAAACGTTAAGTAAGACACTAGAGTGTAGCGATCGTTGATGTAAAGCGTGAGGAAAGTAAAATGTGGTCGCTCACTTGGGTCCATTTGATACATTAATCCAGTTGAAAAGCATGCTTGGCGTAATCCACAATATAGGAGTTTAGGTAACAAAATGCTGGGAGCTAAGAGCAACATCCAACCATTTTTTGAAAACGTCCAAGGTAGGAGAGGATATAACTGGGTCTGAGAGTGCGTTCCAGGGTTGGCAAACCCGAAGGGAAAAGTAAGTCGGTCGACACTCCAGACGGCTATATTGTTCCTTCAAATGTAGGTAGTTACCCCTGAGCTGCGTGTTGTGGCTAAGTTCCAGCAAATGGCGGCACACGTGGTTGGGGTCACTCAACATCTGATACGCTAATATGAGATCACCGCGCAGCTTTCGATAGCATCCGCTGAAAATTGTGCATCATTGAGAAGATTGATGGGTCAAATCTCCCGAAAGCCCTTCGCAGCATGCCGACATGCTGGTTGCCTCTTTTTGCGGGTAACTCAGCCTGTTTTGAACAGTTGAGGTCTCTCTGTACCATCACACAAAGGCCACATTCCTGGGAGCTGGTCTGCAATCCGTTTGTCCCAAACAAATAGTTGTAGTTTTGTCTATGGCGTAATTGTACAACGCGACATTTTCCTACCTTGAATGGTACGGCGTTTTGAACTGACCAGTTCGACACGGTGTTAAGATCGCACTGGAGCCGTTCGTGGTCTTCCGGTCATCTGATCCTTCGCTATATCTTGATATCAGCAAAAAATAGGAAAACGGAAGCAATTGATCACGCCAAATCGTTAATGAACACCAAGAATAGACGAGGTCCAAGAACGGAGCCTTGTGGTACT